TATTTTTAGCAGTGCAGTCAGTCATTATAGGCAGTTAAAGGTTGATTAGGTTTGCAGAGCAGTTAAAATGCTAACCTTACAAAATAAGGGGAGAGACTACTTCTGTAGGGATGTGCACAAAGGAGCTTTTTTAATTAACGCATTCATTGAGATTTTATTAAAGGGCCACATTTTGCTGTTCAAAGACTGTAACTACTATGATAAATGTGTGCCTTGAAGGGATGCTATAGGGAAAATCCAGAACAAATCTTGATGGCACTATATCTTCTTATGTCAGATTTGAATTTGAGGCTATGGTTGTACACATTACAACATGATACAGTAAGCAACTTTACTTCATGTCAGATCTCTATCTGCTTAAGCATGCAAACACAAACAAATATCTACAAGCGTAAGCACATATATATGTAAAGAGGACTTCTTCAGAATGTTTTGTTAGAATGAAATCAAATATTAAAATTCTGCAAGGTTAATGGAAGCAAAACCGAGTATATTTTGTTTAATTTTTAACCTTCTTCCTTAACTCTTCATCATCAATGCTGCTTTATTTTTCTCTCACTGTGTTTTGGTCTTCTGAAAGAGCGATGGTGCATACTGTCAGCCCCACAATTCAATGCAACTTCTAAAAGAATACTCTGGGATATCTTTGTTTCATTTTCAAATCTTTGTATTCACTCTTTCGTACGTTTCTTACAAAACACAAGGTCTAGAAATTTACCTTAAGGTGGGGCTGACAATTAATAGCTCAGCAACCAAGAGCTGGAGTTAACAACACAACACTAGGAATAAATCTGGTCAGTTCACAATGTTTCTCAGTAATGCTAAATCTTCAGCTACCAAAAACTTGGCCCACCAGTTGAGCCAAGTGGGAACCTAAGTGTATGCAAAAATTCTCTAGGGTGCTAAATTTAAAGTAGAGCAAGAAGCATACCATCTCTGCCATCTGCTGCAACCATGGTGCAAGCCCTTCCTCTTGAAGAATGTAGATAATCAAAGGATGAATGCTGTCTCTGTCTTTACAGTCTTCTGCTGGGGCACTGGGATGAGTGAATAGCTTCTCATTGCCTCACTCCTCATTCCCACAAAGAGTTTCCAATGCTAAAGAAAGGCCGTTGAAGGTCCCTGAAAGATTCATGTCTCGCTAAAGACCTTTTTATTGAATACAGAAAACCTGCACCTTGAATAAATACGTAAAGTGAGGTTTCTTGTAACTTCTACAGACAGTTTGATCCATATAGCGCTCCATTCTTTTCCACCTTGTTGTAGTAAGACAAATGAGTTTCCTCTGCAAATGCCTTTCCCCTTCCCCGATTAAAAAATTTTAAGGGTAGTCATTGAATTATTGTTTCATGTTTACTAAATTAATTGCCCAGTTTGATTATTTTTTTTAATTCCAGAAAGGTTGGAACAAAAAAATCTCTAATATTTTTCAATGAACTACTCTAGTCCTGATGATATGATCAATGTACACTCACATTCAGAAACGCATAGAGCTAGTGGCAAAACAATTACTTTTTCAAAGTTCAGGTTAATCATTGCTTTCTGTAACCTGGTAAAAATCAGAAAGTAAATGATAAGGCAAGCTCAGAAGAAACTTATTTTTTTATGTATCTCCAAAGCAGAAATTCTTTTAGGAATATGAAGCAACAGCAATCACAAATAAACAGTATTTTTAAACAGTTCTAATATACCAGTTTTCTTCAAATAAACTAAGCTAGTTTAAGCTGGTACAACACTGGACTATAATAACCAGTAATGTATAACAACGGAAGGAGATAAGAAAGCTTATGCCCTTCTGTAATTCTTAACCTTGAAGGAGAGGAAATCCCTTTCAGGACTTTCAGTGCTAAAAAGACTGTTGATTTTACAAGGAAAAGAAAAGAGAGAAATATTTTTTGCTATGAAGCATTTTCTAGTGTCTTCATAGGAAAAAAAAATGCTTAAAATTGGATTAGGTTGGTAGCATCCTGACTGCAGGTAGTAAAAATTTAAAGCTATGAACAGATAACTTGACTAAACAGAGAAAAGGGATATCAGTTTTGTTGTTGGGAATTACAAATGTCATATGAGAAAAAGATTCAAATACCTCCTAGCTATGATAAACAGGTTTTTTCCTAATAAAACACATCTCAAGCCTGAGAAAGCTTCATACCTATCAATTTGCCTTTTAACATCTTTGGAGAGGGAGATTTTCAGATTATGGCTCTGTCTGAAGCTTTTGGACTTCTTTCAGTGTATCATTAGCTATTGACATGATATACAAATTCGTCTGGTGGGCAAAAGACAAAGAGGATCTCATTATCTGCAGTGCCCGTATAAAATATGGGAAAATTAGGATAAATGGTGGTTTTAAGTTCAGTCTTCACGTCCTGAACTAGAGATGGGAATACATTCCTTTTAAGAATTGAGCTGAAATTTAGGACTAAGAAAGTGCACATAAACTTTCAGAGAAAAACAACTGGACTGACAACTGGCAACTGGGATAGGCCAAGTATCAGTCTTCAATATTAATTTATAAACAATTAAACATAACAGCTTCTATATCCTTATTGAATTTCGGGGGTTCATTCATTTCTTTCATTCAGCACCATTTTTTCAGACCAGACTTGTCTATGAAGTAACATCTTTGGCCTTTCAAGGGAGAGATAAAATGATAGGTGGGATATTCTCCTCTTTAGTGATGTAGAAGATCACAGTAGACTGACTCATCTGCTCTGAGGGCTGTGGTGTGAAGAACCAGCCAGGATTTCATTGCTGCCTCTCTTTTGTGGACAGGAGGCCATGACAAATGCACTGGGGTGGGAAGATGCCAATTGTGATTCTCTAGGTCTGGACTGGGGGGGTCATTCCTCCATTCTCCACCTAGCTTTCCTCCTTAAATCACAGGAGGTTTATTTTGAACTTCCGCCCTCATCTCTTGATTCAGTTTACTTAAAAAGAACACATGCCTCTTATTTTTATTACACAAGCCTTCAAAATTGAGTTAGATAAGCATAGAGATCATGATGAATCATCAGCTTGTTTCAAGTCTGCTGCTGTTCAAGCGTCTTTTCTATTGTGGTCAGCCACCTTTAAGTGGTTTTAGTCAAAGGTCCTATCACTCACAGGTGCACTTGCTTGCAGAAGAATTCATAGCTTTTTCCTCTGGAGGTGAAAATGCATGTGCAACGTTCATATGAGATTGCCAACATCTTAATCCCATCCCTCGACACATTGCTAACTTTCTGGATGCAGAAAATATGTTTTCTTTCTGTTTTCAGGCACAGAAAGTATACCATAATTTTGTTTCATAAAATATACGGATATGCATTTCAAATTGCAAATGACTTTGAATCTATCAAGATACGGACTGTGCATTTTATACACTACTTTTTGCTTCGTAATTCAATTTGACAGATGTGATGAGGCTGAGACAAGTCATACAACCATCTGTGGTAACATTTAGAGCTTCTCAAATTACTGCACATACACCACTCATTGCACCTGAAGATCTTAAAAAAGCATCTATTTTCCACTTAAAATAGTAAAAACAAAATAATCCTTTCCCAGACATGGGTAACTACCCAGCCATGATTTACTGCTATATGAATCCAGGCCAAGGAGTAAAGGATTAGAGTAATGAGCTATCATTTAGCTCAGTGAGGAACTGAATATCATCTCTTTTTTTGTGGAGTATGTGGTAAAAGGCAGAAGGCAAGGCATCGCTGTCGAAAGAAGAGAGTGCATGCATAGCTCTCATATTTCTGTGTGAGATATATCTGTGCACTGCAAAGCCCAGTGCTGTAAGTCTTTAAACGGATGGCATAGTACACATACAATAAATCTGATGGTTCAGGAAGCGCAGGACTAACGGTGCATGTACTTGGAGACTGCACGATATGTCTGTCTGACAAACCCAAGAGAAGTGGGGTGCTGGTGTTCAGCTTTTGTTTACAGAAAAAACATGTTTGGAAGGGCATCCCCATAACAAGGGCTGCACAACAGCGTCACCAGGCAGACAGAAACCTTGGAACAGCAAGTGAACAAAACTGTTCACATTCCATGTGGAAAATAGTATTGGTGAAAGAAAAGACCACAAAGGAAATCAAGGCACATGGATGACTTCTGTATGCTGTGCAGAAAATTGAGTATTACTGTTGCCACTAGTCACAGAGGTGGTGGTGACTACCAGTACTGCTGAGGGTGGTGGCGGTAATTAAGCAAACAACTCTGGGAGCCCTGACATCAGGCAATAACTATCTATACAAAAAGTAAAGTAAAGGTAACAATCTTGCAGTAAACCCTGCAAGGAACTGCAAAAAGCAAACATCTCATAGGTGAGATGAAACTCAGAGCTACTGATGCAACTGCTGTATTGACCATTGTGACAATCATGTCTGGATATGATGCCTGTGCAATCAGGTTTGAGAACACCAGTGCCAGTTACATAGAGTTTTCGGTCAAACTCCATAGAGACTTTCAGCTGTATAATAAGATATAAATACTGTTCTTTTCATGTCAGGACAAGTAATAAGGACATATTGATTTGATTTTTACTTCATCCTCAAAAAAGGTTTGTAAACTAAATAAGGAGCTCGTGACTTGACCTATCACCAAGACCTCAATAGTTTAAACAGAAATTTAATTTTCTCTGTATATACTTCGGGGATAACAATATGAGAATTACTGTGATGTGCCCATTCATTAAAAAAAATCACATTGACAATTATAGATTGGGTGAGAGAGGAGGTGATTGAAAACATGAATTGAATTAAAACACAGCCACAGGTCTTTAACAAAATCTGTACTATCATTGTATTTGTATAAATCAACTACTAACTTTCTCAAACATTGCCCATGATTTTTTTCTTCAGGTTTGAGAAAAAAAGTCACACTTCTCATACAACACAATAATTTGTATTGGAGAATTGAAGGGAGCCAGAAGAGTGATCATCAGAAAGCAGTTCCTTTCCCACACTCCAATAAGCAACTTATAGATAATGTTCTACTTCCACAGTTACCTGTGCATTTCTTGATATTGCTATTTCTTTTTCCATGTGATCCTAACTTGCATCCAAAGTTCTCCTCCCAAAATTCTGCAAACCATACATTTCTTCGATTGTTAGCAAGTGTTCGGCTCCGAAAATATCTATCAAATCCTACATTTGTGAGAAGTGAAAGAAGTATTAAAATATGATACAGCATAAAAATAGTATTTAAAGACAATAATAGATTTTGTATAAATATCAGAACAAGAAAAGCTTTAGGTACCAATTATTATAAAATTTTAATATTTAATTTAGCATAGTACTATCTAAGGATTAAAAGAATGGTATATTTGTTACTATCCCATATTTGCTGTAGAAGAAGGTTTTTGTTTTAAATACCTACAGCAATTAAAGAGTCTCTAAAGCTTAACCAGAACTCTATAAATAAAAAAACACAATGCAGATTGTTAGGGATATAGCTTAATTTTTAGTGCACAGATGACCCATATAAATAATTGCATACCTACAAGAAATTAGACAAACTATAATCACTACTTAGTCAAAGATGGTGATCCAAAAAAATTTCATTTTAAGGCCACCTAAAATCACTGGGTGATTTTGTTGCCTCTCTGTTGAACCAGAGAGCTTCCAGGATGCTTAAAGTTCTACTTCTATGTATATGTTTAATGACACTAGCTAAGAAACTAAAGATTCCTGCTTAAATCTGATCAGATTCTGCACCAGCCTCACCCCTACAACCCAGCAGCCATAATGAAATAATGACTAACACATACCATCTGGATTAAGCTCTTTATGAATTTTTCCATGTGGCTAAATTCTCCAAGTAGCATCAGTAGTGCTCAGCTTTTATAATCATTTAGCAGTTTAGAGCAATTATCCAGACACTAAGAGATGTTAGTATGTCCAGTACCCTCCCGGGAATAAGGTGCTTCAAATCAACAACTTCCACTTGATCCACCAAGTCAGAAACTTTGTTAGTATAGTGGCTTCTTAAAGTAAGTTTAGGAGAAGAAAGCAGAGCCTAGATTGATCTCCTCACAGGAGAACGATTTGACATCAGATCTGATATCATCCATCCAATACTCTCCTTTTTTGTCCTACAGACCCACCAGGCTATGGGTAAGAAGCTCTCCACCACACATGCTCTAGTTATTATTATTACAATTATAAGACTGCCTAATTGAAGATGCAACATCTCCTCATCTCAACAGATATATTGAATGAATATTATATCAGGGCAACTCAAGTCACTTAGCTGGAAAGTTTTCTCTGATTTCCTTGTAAACAAGCAGTACGCAATTTTTAAATTACTTTTTTTTAAGAGAGCTAGCGTGCTTGAACATTTTCAGAAAAATGAGGGGTTTATGCCACGTGCATTCCTACCATCTATTGATGTTCTTTTGGGCAGAATGGTTACTGCTCCTTCCGCAATCTCCTCCTGCTGCTGAACTGGTGAAATTTTTGACCCCCAACTGTCTGAGCCAATCCAAAGGAAATGTCCGGATTGATTAGCTTTTTTGGCTGCTTCCAGTATTCGCCTGCAAAGAAACAACAAAAGACTAATTTAAAAAGTGCATTTAAAAAGAACTTGAGAATCCCAAGCACTAATTCTGGCTAAGCACAAGTAGGCTCACAGTAACAAATCAGTCAATTGTTTTCACGGTCTAAAGTGTATTCAGCTGTAATGAACTCAAGATACAGTACCGTACAAGTTAATTTATTTCATCTTTAGCCATATTTTACTAGTATTCTTATTGGTTTCTTCCTTTCCAGTCACCAGATAACAATCTACTGGCAATGCACTCTTAGGAGCTAGGCACAGATTAGATCTCCACAGAATAAAGGACCAGCACACTATAAATTGCAGCCCAATTTCTTGTCACCATATTTCCAGTAATTTTTACATGGATTGAATCTGAAATCTCCTCTGTTACTCTATTCTGCACCAGCCACAGCATCTCTGTGATGAGAGAACATCTTTAACACAAAAAATTAGGAAACAGGCACCTAATATCATCTTCATTCGCAAACATGATCACTGCTCGAGCATTTGGAGTTTCCAATAAGCGCCTGATGATCTTTTCAAATTCTCCTGGTCTTGGTTCCCGAGGGATTTTGAGTGACTGAGCAATGCAAACACCTCCTGAGAAAAATCAAAAGGAAAACAAAAAATAATTTTATCATGTTAAATACCCACACTTCGGACAATCCATAGTTAACCAGTGAGGCAAAGAAAACAAGAAGCTAAACTGAGATAAGGCAGCACAGCCAAAATTTACCCTACCTATTTATTTTGAAATATGCACTGTACAAACTTACACACTCAAAAAGTATTAAAGAGTTCCACTCAGGTACCTGTTACTTCATTTTTAACGTCAAATTTAAAAAATCTTCCTGAGCCAGATCCTAAAGCACCGTACTCTGTCTCAGCTGGACTGTGTTCCACAGACCTACCCCTACTTACGGCAGCTGAGAACCCAGTCTTGACACAGGATTGAATCTAACTGTGAAGCTGTAATTTGACAGTTATCTTATGTTCATAATGTGCTTCTTCAGTATCAGGTACTATCATACACCTCTGCCTTTTCAGCAGAGAGTATCAGGTTAACTATAAATGCTGTGGTTACAGAATCAGGTAGAGAACTTGAAATGTTCTCTTATGAACAAACACATTCAGATCACTTCTAATTGTTATTATGACATTCTTAATTAAATTTTCTTAATTATTAAAGAGATTTTGGGCTGTCATTGAATATTCTAAATTACTAATCAGCAAATGAACACAAACTCAGAGATGATATTTATATCTTCTCCTGACAGAAGGAGGAAAGTGCTAAATGAAATCTGTACATTTTACCTGTCCTACAAAAAGGGACAAATTTCAACATAAACCCAGTAATTTCTAATGGCTTTCATACACCAGTGCAGGGGAATCATGAATGACACTGTTATCAATGTTGAGATGAGGAGCAAGATTTCTTGAGCCTGTGTCATGAAGCACTGAGTCCAGATTGACACCAGCTTCCTATGCCATATTGATCTTCGTGTGATTGTTTGCTGATTTGTTTATTTTAATTATTTATCTTTAAGAACTATTGCCTGATTTGCACTGGTACATCTAATTCCCACAAGTATTTGCTGTTGTTCCAACAAGTATTTGTTGTCATTCCCAAAATAAAAGCAAGAATCTAATTATTAATAAAACCAGGAAATTAAGAAAATGAGAAAATGTTTATTTCTAACAAAAAGTGACATGCTACTTGACAAAGGCAAAGAAAGTGAGAATTTTTGCATCTCTGCATCTGAATACTTCTACATCAAAGATTGCCTTCAATGTAAGAATAAGACTACATTTTAAAGGAGCTGTTCTATTTTTAATGAATGCTGGTATTTAGTTTCTGGTGTATAAGATCATTTGGGGTATATACATGTCTACACATTAAAGATAATTAGACAACTGAAGCCACAGTTAGATTGCTGTGTTGTATGTGGGGAGGCTTTCCAACTTCTCTACAGCCTTGTCATCCTTACCAAAATATCAACCTCATATTTTTCCAAAGTGCTTCACAAATTAGGCTGATACATACTGTCAGTGATAGGATTTGAACAGAAACAGGTGTCCAGCCAGACGCAGCTTGGGATGTAGAGCTACACGAAGAAGTTACAGAGGTCTCATACTAGCTTTCTTAAGTGGAATGTATTTAATCTTTAAGCAAAACAGAGAAACAAAATACAGGTATTTATGAAGCCTTTGTTATTTCTTTTACTCAAATTTAGTCTTTAGAAAATTCTGGGCATTCATTATTAGTTCTTGCTCTGCCTTTGCAGAATCTCATTGACCTCAATAGTTCTCTGCACAGGCAGATCTTAAGTTTGAATCAAGTTTAGACATGCCATAAATGAAGTATGGAATTATCAACTGACAGTATGAAAATAACAACTTTCAAATGAAACCAGCCACTTTCAGTCACAGGCAAATGTATCACCTTTTTCAGCTCTGCATCAGTTTCTTGGGAAGTTACATTATTATTTTATTAAACTGAGAGTTGCATACTACCATATAGATTTATCCTGTATTATTCTCTGCTTTACACGAAAGAAATAATATTTGCAAATCAGAACATCTGCCATTTCTAACAAAAATTGTTTGTACACATCTCTTTATCGTCTATAAATAGTATAAAGGTATAGCATAAATAATTTACTCTTATCTGCTTTAAAATGGAATATAGTGCCTTTCTCTGACAACATATTTCTTCACATTTTTATGAACTGCCTTGTTCCCCATGATGGACAGCTAATTTGCCAGTCAAAACAGATGAGTCCAGATAGCAGATGACCCTCATATTCATCAGATGTCTTTGACAATCCAGTGACAAAAAGATGGACATTGTACCGTGAAAAGCTTTAGCCAATTTTCTAAACTGATACTAAGCTGTTTCATAGACACTCAAAAAGTCCTTTACAACAATCTTTCTCAAGTAACAGGGCTGAAACATAACAGAATTATTTAGCAGACATCCTGTAAATTTAACAAACAGCAATTCACTGTTAAAAAAGAAAAACTGAAAAACAATACCAAGCTCTCAACTGTCCCCAAAGTCATTCAGGCACAAGAAGTAAAATAGATCCTAAAAATGACATAAAGGAATAATTTGTTACCTCATAAATTCTGACAGTGCATTTTTCAACTATTTCTATTCATTCTGTGGCCCTTAGGAAAAAAACATTTGTTCCACATAACACTCAAATGCAAATATTGCAAAATGCGTATATGTAATACATTATAGATATCCATCTACAATCCAAGTGGAATGGATATCAAGCAACGAAAAACTGCAGTATCTAAAAAAGCTATTTTCAGTCAGAATGGTGCAGAAGAAACACCATTCCATCATTGCAGCAGCAAGTTCAGTCATGACTGTACAGAGCATCTTAGCATCTCTACATTGAAGAATGTGTTAAGTACTAATACGAACAAAATAAAATGCACTTCAGCCTTGTTGCTACATTTATAATGAATTGTGTAAGCTATCTCCAACACACACAATACTTTGTGTACACCCTTATCTATATATTGCATATACAGCTGTTGCTCAAACAAATAACAGAGTATCAATTTTCAGCTAATGATGGAATGCTAGATCTACAAAGGTACTTACAACATTACAGTGTCTAACCTCTCAGCACCCTTCTGCCTTTGAAATCCCCAGCCTGGGCTAAGTGCCCAGACAGACAGAGAGATGGGTGTCTAGGAAAAGCATTCAGAAGAGCCAGCAAACTGGGTAAGGAATAATTATTCCTCCAAAACAGCTAGCAGAAGTACAAAAAGGACAGGTTTTAAGGCCAGGATAATCTTACAAAGTATGAACAAAAGAGAAATTTCCCCATATCAAGGCAAAATAGGGTTTGAGAACAGATAGCTTGTACCTGATACCAATGGATTTCCCATTTGCTGCAGAGGTGCCAAAGGGCAGGTGGTTCAGACACCTATTGCCCCTGGAGGATATATGGCTGTGCATCATAAGAACAAACAGTGTCTGCATGTTTCGCTCTGTCAGCATTTCTGACTGATTTGGCATGATGACTGCTTGTCCCTGTTACTGGCTTCTAAAATGTTTGTTATCCTTCACTGTCTGGAGATGTACCTAAAAAAATACGTTGGTCTAAACTTCCTTTGGCTGAAATTATGATTAATCTAGTATTTGTATGAGGAAATGAGAGCTAACTGTCTTCTTAACACAAAGGAAATGCTGTGTTCAAACCTGGTCAATTCAAAGGACTTATGAACAGGCTTCAGAGAAGACTGCACTAAAGGCTGTTACTGAGACTAAGAAGGGAGTCAGCCAGACAGACTCATGTCAGGTGGCTCAGCTAGGAACAGATATCAGTAATTGTACCCACTCCTATTATACCCATTCCCTAAATCATATGTGATTTATGAGATTAAATTAAGGGTTTGTATCTCTCACACATTTTAAAGACATTAAGATGGCATGGATGGAAAGTAGTTCTTCAGTTACTCTGAGTAAAAAAAACCCTCAGTACCAAACTGTGCTAAGCTTCTTTTGTCTGTTCTCAGATCTATAAAAATACGGTTGTACTCAGTCAACCTAGAGCTTGAGTTGAGGAATAAAACAGTTAATGCAAACTGCACTGTGTCAGTGATGATAAGTATCCATTTGTCTTCTATCTAACAGCTATCAAATGGGATATCCAGCACCTCGGGCCAGGGGATGATGAAGAGAGGGAGAGCAGAAGCGGGAGCTGGAAATCAGGCTCACGGCAGGTGCTGCCCCACTCATGATCAGGGGCTCAGTCCAGCCCCTGGGCACCGCGATCAGCAGCTGGTAACTTGTGTGCTTTTTAAACAGGGACATAAACAGACCTGACCTATAATAATATGGGTTTGAGTTGTTTTCTCCGTTGTGATAAAAATCACATCTTAAACAAATTGTTCCATGCTAGGCTTGGCTGGCTTACAGGTGCTCTGTCTAACACAACTTGTGGGAAATACGTTATCATCAAACAAAAAAATGGCAGATTTTGAAGATATTGTCAGTACACTGCATCAATGAGCTTTTTCCTTTCTTTTTGTGCTCTTACAACAATGATTCTACCAATGAAAAAATAAAGTAAAAGGGAAATGTAGTACCTGCATCATTTCGGTGGTTAAACATATGGTGATTTTATAATGACAAATATTCATTTTAGCTCTCATGGGCTCTGAAGTCATGAGATGGCATGCTAATTGTAAACCATTAAATACTCAAGTATGCGGAGGTGGGTGTCAGAAGAAGTGATGCTGAATGTGTATTTGGAAAATAGCATGCAGACTTGCTAGATAATTTGCACTAACAAATCTCCTAAAGTAAAAGCTGAAAGATTAAGCTAAATGTAAATAAAAGGGCCATGTTCTCTCCTTCCGCAGCTAGGATCCAGCACTACATTATGGACTAACTAAGTAGGATACACAGGAAAGGGCAATGTCTTTGTATCAAAAAAGCTGAAGACAGTTTTCAGTTCAAGTGTGTTCAGTGTTGGGACCACAACCGTGCTACTCAGAACCAGTTTACCCTCTAAATTATTTCATCTTCCCATGTGTACAACTAGCCTTACCATTGCAAAAGGGGAAGGGATCAA